GTTCTGCGCTCGCGCTGGGGGAAAGGTCACGCGCAGGTACTTATGTCCTGTGTACAAGGCCTTATTCTGTTCGTTTTAATTACCGATATTACTTATTGTTCGAGCGGTATCTTGTTTCTGTTTAAGTTAATTAGTGGATTTTCTTTAACATTCATCTAGTTACATAAATATAGGTTATCTACTAAAAGCATGAATGGTGGGTGGTACATAATACTGTGTTGGTTCCAACGCTAATGTATGGGTGAGTGTTGCGTGTTGCAGAAGAATCACGAGAGTAGAGTGAATGCAGTTGAAATGAGATCCCTTAGAAGAATATGTGGTGTGCGGCTGGGTGACAGAATGAAGAATGCTGTGATCCGTGAAAAATGTGGTTTGAAAGAGAATGTAGTGACAAAAATAGACAAGGGTATGCTGAGGTGGTTTGGACACATGGAGCGGATGAATGAATGTAGATTAACGCAAGAAACATATTAGAGCTAACGTAAAAGGAATCATGGGAAGATAACGTCCACAAAGAACATTATGTAACCAAATTGAGAGTGTTCTTAAAAAGGCTGGAATGCGTAGTGAGAAGCATAACAGGGCATATATGAAAAGATTGATGAATGTAAGTGAAGCAAGAGAGGTTTGTAAGGATCGTGCTAAGTGGCGAGCTATAGTTTCTGCCTACCTCAAAGGAATCTAAGGGCGCGAATATATAAATAATATATATGTGCAATTTTCAGTTATTTCTTTAAATAGAGTAGGTAGTTTTTGTTTGATAAACATACGGAATTGCCATTATCTTTTTTATTTAATTGTCATAGTTACAGTGTACACTGTAATGGTTACGAGTAAACAATAGTACACTCGTTCGTGTTTACCCTGATAGTGCATTTCTACCTAAGATCTAGTCATTGAGGAATGCGTACACCTAATTACGCACTCAGTAAAATCTTATCTAGGCAATGTTACAAGCAGGAATTTCCTTGTTAATTTATCAAAGTAAAACTATAACGCTTCCGGCGAAATAATTTCTGTAATCTTGTTGTTAAATTATACTACGCATCAGCCATATTTAACTCAGTTGTTGTCTGATAAATTCAATTCATCATTGGGTTATCCAAAAAAATTTTAAAATATCCTGATACAAAAAGTGTACTCCAAAAAGACAATAAAGTCCCATGTGCCTGTAATTTCACCAGCACCTTTACCCTTCAAAACCGGAATGCAGTAATGTTCACATTACTGCTTGGCGGCAGGAATAGACTAGATAGCAGTACTTCTTCGGAAGAATTCATTCACAAGAATGCTACTATAATTATCATAACGCTTTGAAATAATTCCATCTGTTTGGGTTTAACTACCTCCATGAACGGTTACCATGCTGAACTGCCAGGCAGACGAGGTTTGATTCCCGGGTCGTGATAAATATTTGTATGGCCTACATTTATTTCTCTCGTCAGTTTGGGTGTTATCCGTGGTTGTCTATGTGTGTCCATGGCATGTGCGATACAGGGTTTCACTAACGCGGGGCAATGATTATGTGCATTATTATTATTGTTATCTGTGATGCCACAGACATACGTACGAATAGACAAACTATAGTGAAATAAAAACTTTATACTTAAGGTTATTGTACAGCTTATGCGTACTTGGTTGACCAAAGACCGTGGTAATAACACGTTTAGCTCTTGCAGTAGTCCCGATCTAAGATGTTTAAATTAAATATTGTAATGACAAATGTATTCATATGTATGTATATTTACAAAGAGCAACCCCTAGAGTTTCTTGCTCATTCTTCTCAGGGGAATCTGCCTTACGAATGAGCGGTAGTGTTTAATCAGTATGACGATTTCAAATGTAATTTACTTACTTGTAAAATTAGATTATTTGACTTCAACTTTGACAGACAGACAAAGGTACTCTCCACGTTTTGTGTTGGGAGTTAAAAAGAAATAGCCATATAATCTTAGTATATTATTATGATACAGCACTGTACCCAGCCCACTTATTTAAGTTATACCATTAGAGAATATCTTTATTTCTTTATTAATATCTGTTCCTTCTTCTTCGTTTTCTTGTGTTTATATCTTATTTTCGTCAATTCGAATAACTTTTAACTTTTCATTCCCTTTATAGCCTCCATTATCACTTTTACCAAATCTATTCAGTGCTTCATATGTATTTCGCCAATTAACGTCTCACAGCCGGGTACGGGTCTTCCCTAAAGCAAGGTCAAAGTTACCATCCTTCATGCATTATAAATGATCTTCGAATAAGACAAGCCATTCATTCACGTCACAGTACTGAGAATGAATCACTGATGCAAATCGACAATTCTACGAACCAAAACACGACAGACATCGTGGTGTAACGATGAAGTTCAGCCAGTTAAAAAAAGTAATTTGCATAAATAGAGCGAAGAAAACCTCTATGTAGCTTTTTCTATAAAACAAGAATAAAATACGAACGAGAAGTTTAAAATATTTTTACAAATAGAAATATAAAAATGTTACTTTCACAAACAACACCAACTGTTTAAAGTTTTCCTAAAATGTCCTCGGTAATAATCTCCTTGATGAATTAGAAGGCATATTGATGATTTATCCCGCTAGGTGGTGCATGATCACTGGTCTTGTCTGGACTTACTCGTACATTACATAAAATAACTGTAACTTTTTCATTGGGAAAAAAACACGACCTCAAATTTTGCTTATCGGCTTTTTTCGATTTTCATGGGATCTCCTCATTAGATTCTGGCTTCTTGGTGACAATTGGACTGTTACGGGCTCCTTTGTATATATTTTGTATATATATGGTTTTTCTGGTTGTCGTGGGGACGGTGATTTGTTCATTGTCATGTATTGTATCAAGTGAAAGTCGACTTTTATTTGCGGAAAATATTTTTTTAATTTGTGATATCCAAAACGAACCCGGAACAGACCAAAAAAGAATTTTCAAAATCGGTCCACAATTGGCGGAGAAATCGGTAAGTAACTGCAAGCCTATAAAATTTGAGGATTTTCCTCAATTTTCATGGGATCTCCTCATCAGAAATTTTCTTGGTGACAATGGGAACGCCACCAGAGAGCACCCTTTTAAACAAAAAAAGAATTTTCAAAATCGCTTTACAATTGACGGTGAAAAAATACATAAAGCCAAATACATAACCTACTCCTTTTTTAAGGTTAAAAAGAAGACATTTGTGTATCTGTGAACTAATACGCCTCTGCGTATTATAGTGTAATGCCATGTCAAAACAAAGGAGTACGTACACCGTATTTCTATCAAAATGAATAGAAGAAAGTAATTCCTTAAGCAAGCAGGAATGGAGACCATAACCATCTTCCATGTTATGATCACTTCTAGCTTGATGAGTTTTATGACGAAAGCAGATATAACGGTTAGTTCCATCGAGGAGAAATTTTGACGTTTGGAAGACACAATACACAGACATTTAAACCTTGACCTACGGGGCATTGTCCAGTGGTGCGTCCGATGTATGGCTGTTAGGATAAGAATAGAGTCGCCGAAGACCTGAGGGAGACGAATGTGATTGAATGGTCGGAACCGGCACAAGATCGTAAGAAATGGCGTACTTTTGTGTCGGAGGCAAAGATCCACTTCGGATCGCTGAGCCAGCGAAGTAAGTATTATACACAGACAAAGGTTTCAAACTGAAAAAATATGTTTCTTTGTCTTTTATGAGCGGAAAACGTGTCTTTTTTGAAACAATAAAGAAACATTTTCTCGTAAATTATGTGACTAAGACATCTTGTTAAAATATATTTGCTTAAATACAAAAGCAGATCCTTATGAGTCGATGTAATTTACTCATAATCGAACCGAGGTCGTTTTTACGCTGGCGTGAGTCATCGGCAGGTAGGTATTACGTATTTCTTTGAAGATAAAGGTAAAACAATCATTAAAATATCGTTATAAGTTTATCTTTTTTACGTAGTATTTTAATGATGGATGGTTTTGTTTGTGTCAGTAAATTTATGATTAACTAGAGATTTTGTAGTTAAAAATGAGCACATACAATGATACCCACAATGGCATAAGCGGAGTTACGTCAAAAATGTTTATTGTTCCATTGGATACAGAAAAATATAACACACATCGACTTCAATTTTTGGAACTCTATCGACAATATTAGTCGAGGTTCGATTTCGTCCGGAAGGAAAGGAAGGAAAATATTGTGATTAAACCTGTACGTCGAAGAATGTTCACAACCCTCAGAAAACGTGTGAAGTTTCCAACCCACGTTGGCCCATCGTGGCTGACTATGGCCTAAACCCTCGTCTGCAGAACCGTGCCCACCATTGGGGCGTGTAAATGGGTTAATGTCGTCCAGGCTTGAATTAAAATCACTTATAAGTGACAGTTGCATAAAAATAACATATGAGGAATGATAAATGCTAGCATCGAGTACATAACCAGAAATAGAGACGAAATAAGGGCCATCCATCCCTGACAAAGCATCAGGCAAATGGGCTATATGGTATATCACTTTTAAATATCAACTCTAGTTTGCACTGAAATCACAAATTAGAAAGCTGAAATAGTACAGCGCCAACAACTGACCTGTGTGTACGTCTCTGTATATTCCAAAAATATTCTGTATTTATTGTAATAAAGACAATATCTCTAACTGTGGGGGGCTGTTCCATTCCGTGGTGTGGGAAAAACATCAAAACATGTAATTACAAAACAAACTGAGTCACATTTCATCGGTAATTAAATATTAAATATGTAATTTTTCAATTTTCGTCCATTATAACAAAGTTCAAGTTAAACTGGTGAATTTGAAGTGCAACAATTGACGATACCCGTCAATTGTTTCGAATTCGGGCTGGCCAATTGGAGCGCAGTTGTCACCGTAATGATATGGCAGAATAGTTTTCAAACAAATTAAATGACATTTCGTCTTTATTTCTGGTTATGTACTCGATGAATGCTAAAAAGGAGCAAGTTATGAAACAATTATAGTATAAAGTAGGTACATATCAACTCACATAATGCGGCCATGATCATACAAAGGGCCTGGTAGCGATGCATCCTGCGAACAAACACGTCATCAACAAAATGATACTTGAATATAAGATTAATGTGAACTTATAGATACAATTTAATCAATAGGTGATAAGTTTCGATTTTATTTACATTATGAATGTATCTGCAGGTACATCGAAGTTATCAACTTTATGTACCTACAGTACATGTCTTTGTAATTCACGACTAGCGGGACAACATGACTTGGTATCATATAAAATATATCAAATATGTAATAAATGCTGCACTCATTTCTTTCATAATTATCTTTTACTTTAGCCTATTCCTATTATTAGATCTTTTAGCTGTTATCTGTTTCGATAAGCATATACAAGCTGGCGATTCTACAAAAGATATTGTGTAGTATTGTTATATATAGTTATTTATTTATTAACGAATTTACAACAACACTAATTTTACCTATTAAATAAAGATTTAAATATGAATTTAGATTTGCATTTGGTATGTTTTTAATACACTTCCCTGGACGAATTCTTTCACAAGGAACTCCAACTCTACTTTGTTTTCTAGTGTACGTTGATGCCATTTAATATTAAAAATAATCTATGTATAGCCCACAGTAGCACAGATACTTAATAAGTACTACGTAACAGTAGCTAGAATAATGTACAGGTTAACGTGTACGTTAAAAATAAAGATAAGAAACTGTTATTTACGATTAATTTATCTTTTGCTGACTGATATAAGATTATATAATATAATATTAAGGCATAGGTTTATTCATGGCCAGGTCATTATTCTACAAACAGTGAACTGGCCTTGTTTGTGAAGATTCTCAATTTGCAGTGTTAGCATGATAGGGCGCGACTTGCTCAAGAGCGACATAGAGCGCGACATACTACTATTCTCGCATAGAAAATAGCAATTACTCGTCTGTGCAACAACATTATCGCCCCTAAAGCAAATAAGACATATAGGAATTATTGCGACAAAAATTTTGCTTAAAAATATGAAATTTTATTCATTTATTTTGGAAGATTTATAGCGAATTTTTAACAATAAATATATTATGTTGAGTAAAGGTGAAAATGCTGATTACAAATCTCCACAAGTAGCACAAAAACGAAAACTAAGCCCAAATAATAAATTATTAAGTTTTTAGTTAGCAGAAACTTGAACTTATATCGACGATAGTAAGTTGAATCATTTTCGTTATTAACTCGGTGACTTTTCACGTTCTCTTATTGAATAGATTCTCGACTTTACGACAGCAAAACTGCTTTGAATTTGTTACTTCTCTGTCGAAAAAAGCAATATCCCGCGCTCCTATGTCGCTCTTGCACAAGTCGCGCCCTGTCGTGCTAGCTCTACTGGATAAATAGTGAGCTTTGAGGTCGACCTTTTCTTATGTTTTTCCTCCTTCAATGTATAAAATTGTGTCGTTATTATACTAAAATCCGTTCTACTTGTGCCCTAGTTAGAATACCTAACACGATATTTAACCTGCGAACGTATAAAAATAAGACTTTTTATAATCTCCTGATAACAACGTGACTTTACAACGAATTTTTTAAACTCCGGTTTCGATATTTTTGTTTCAATCCAGAATATTTAAAGGAGTAGTAACCCGCTTAACACTTACATAGGTATTAACTCAAATCCATATCGTTTTTGTATTTAGTACATTAGTGGGTATATTAATTAAGTAAGGAAATTATAAGCCAAATCTTTCTTGTTACTTTATAATGATGTGTCGACATAAGTAGGGTTACAATCTGGTACAGAACTTGTATTATTCTTAAATCTTGTCAATGTAATTAGATTGTTATCTGTTTTCTTATCCATATAATAAATAAATAAATAAATATTTTTTTTCTTTACAACAAAAAAACCATGATAGTAGAGTTACTATCATACTTCTTCTGCTATACGCCAATGTATAGCCAGTCGGGCTGTGTTATTTATGAATGAATATGATAACCATTGTTGATAATAACATAAACAAGACACTTGTAAGTTTGTACACAGGCTATCAAAAGATTGAATAATTTGAAAGATCGATCGTTTACCGGACGTAGACGCCGTAAGTAGAAAAGCAGTCGATGTCGTAGCCGTTATTAATTATAGGTTTACTTATAACTTTTGTCCATGGTCTTGAATCAAGTTTAACCATTCTATGCTGTACACATCAAGCGCATTGAGCGTGTTCAGAAAAAATTGTTATCGTATTTAAACTTTAAATTCTCTAGAACTACTGGGTCACACGTCGAAAACTGCAGACATTATGGACTGTTGACTCTGGAAGACAAAAACAACACTGGAAAAGTTTTGGGGAGAGCTACCGAGATCATTTCGGTTTACACAGACTGGGACACTATTTTTCAAAGTTTTCGACGGTGGCAAATGCTTTCCGTGCATTGTCAATTAAGTGTCATTGGTAAGGAGGGCGAGGGAGTTAGCTACGGTGTCTCGAGTTGGAGAATGGACAGGCACTGGCTCAGTCACCTGATCACAGTGGTTACCTTCAATGGTAGAAAGAATAAGTAGCCGACTTTCGGATCGGTCGTAGTCGACCGACCTTACTTGTGTTTAGTAACAGTAGAACTCCGTAAAAGAGTTGGTTTTTCCGGGGAAATACTGCCACCTTACCTATTCCAGCTGCCAAGCAATAACGAAAGCATTACTGCGTTCCAGTTTTGTAGGGCAAGGGAGCTGGTTAAATTACAGGCGCAGTGGCAATGTTGCACAGATCTTTGCGATTTAAAGCTCTCAGTGGCTTTGCAACTGTTATGGACAGGCGCTAAAAAGATATTGGCTCTCCGGAAAAGAGGCATCAGAAAAGCGGGCTGGTGGCACTTTTTACCGTGAAAATTACATTATCAGCAGAGTATATTCATGGGAAATATGTAAACATTATTGTGATTGAACCGTCTCCCGCTTTAAAAAAAGCCAAATGAAATTAGTTTTGAAAAGCTTATGGAGAAAACGATAAAGGTATACTTTGAAACATTGCTACGTAATCGAATAGTATATCAAGTATATGAGTTCATAGTGTAAACTTTTCACAGTAGATATAGAAACAAAACTCCAGTGATTCTTACAAAACCACGTCCTTTATCATCTAATATGTTTTTCACAGTGGCGGCCGCCTGTCAGCGTTCCGTTGATCATTTTTATGTTGCAAAAAGTATGATGTAGACAAAAATATTATTGAAACTTTTTTCCGGATTTAAATCGCGTATATTTGTTTTTTCGAATAAACCAACGGTTCTAATTTTTTAATTAATTCTACTTCCATTACTAATTATTAATAGGTTAAACTTAATAAAAATTCGTATTGTCAAAATAATTTGTAAAATATAACGTAGCGTAAATTGAATTGTTTCTTTGTAAAATTAAAAACAAGGCATTTAATTAATAAATTTTGTAAATATAGTGAAAAAATAGGGTGGTTTGCATTAATATTAGACATAACTGGTTGATGACTTTATCACCTCAGTCCACCGTGACTATGGAACCTGTAAAAGGCCCGAAACGTTGGTTTGTTTGAAAAAACAAATATGGGTAAGTACGCGATTTAAATCCGGAAAAACAGTTTCATTTCCTATGTGTAATAATTGCGAAAATTTTTTGAAGAGAGACGATACATTTTGAAGAGTTAAGGTTGCTGGTCAAATTACAGGCACATGAGACTTGTGAACTTACGTTTTAAGATGACTGGCGCCGTGGCAGTGTCCTTGGGATCTTTGCGATTTGAAGCTCTGAGCGTTAATGCTACAGTCATGAACAGGCGTGTCGTTTACCACCAGGCGGAGGACTTGTTCGTTCTGTCGCTTGGTCGTAAACTTTTAGTATTTGGTTTTTAAAATATTCAGAACCTAATAGTGTAGATTGAAAGGCTTATGTTTTTTATTCTTTAAACAATAATATTTAGTTACAAAATAATCTACTTAAGTGTAACAAAATCTCTTCAGAACATCTTTAACGTTCGCAATTCCAACTAGATTTTATACTATAGCCCACAACCAAGCATAACTCTAACACAATAGCTCATTTATACCTTGAATATAATCCTGTATATCCCGAGAGCACTTTCGCGTCACAAAACCAGTTTATTCGCGGTTCTAAAAATACCGGGGCTAGTAACACTCGCGGCGTGGTGCGTTCAACTTTTGCGTCGCAATCTCTTACTGCACACGTCCGTCCACCGCGACGGCCAACGGCGATGTGACATGTTACCGTCTGACCGCCGCCGGCGCAGGGTAAATCATGATTGACTGCGAGTTGATTATTCAGTTCCGGAATCATGACAGTATCATCATCACAAAAAGGAGTTCGTGACGATGCTCGTGTAACCTTTCTGTCTATAATAATTTTAAAAAGCGTTTCCGCTACCTGTATCGTGTTTTCAATATGGATTACTTTAAGCACTGGACATGTGCATAATAACATACATATCATTACGCCTGTTTCCCACCGGGGTAGGCAGAGACTATGGACCTCCACTAGCTACGCTCCTGACAAACCTCCTTCGCCTCCTCTACTCCCATCAATCTCGTCATACATTTTATTCTTTTATTTATTTATTCTTGATACTTTTAACCTGGCTTTCTTTAAGGACATCCTCAATCTGATTGTGATCGCCGAGGTCTACCTCTCCCCACGCTTCCATCCACATTCGCTCTATAAATTTGTGCTGTCGATAACATTCATTCTTTCTATATGACCAAACCATCGAAGCATCCCTCTCTCTATCCTCACTACATCATCTTTCATACCACAACGCTCTGTTACCTCACAGTTTGGCATTCTATCGTTAAGACTAATACCGCACATACCGCGCAAAGCTCTCATTTCTATAGCATTCACCTTACTTTCATATTGTTTCTGCCACACCCAACACTCACTACCATACATTAGGGTAAACATTTGTGTAATTTATTTGTAAATAAATAATTTGTATTAATATTACAGGATCTGGTAACGAAGTTGGGCAGGAAATGTTGCGACGCGTGATTATGACAAATGGAGTAAAGCGACGATAGTCGAATGGTGGCTATGAAGTGATTGTAGGAACGTGAGACGTGTTGCAGACAAATGGGTAGACGACATCGTCGAAGTCTTCGAAAAGAGTACAGCAATATAAAATCGTGGTGTAAGCAACGCCCTATGGTAGCTATTTATGAAAAATACGTAACTTGTACAGCGCCTAATTTATTTAATTATCAGATGCTGTAAAAAAAACTAAATTATAAACAATTTAAAATAAAATATAGAGTGTAGCAGAATGTTTAGTTGTCAATATGAAATATAATTATACCTAAGTGTAATTAGTATACTATTATATCCACCGCCATTCTATTGATTTTCAATTATTATTAGTTGTTTTTTAATTACTGTTACCTATTTAGTTCTTGTTAGTAAACGGTTAAAACGCCTTAAATATGAACACAGTGAAAATATACTAAATTGACTACTTTCAACTTCTACGCAGCCTGTTTCCACAAATAAATGAAATTACGAAATAGTAGGACAGCCTTATAAAATATGGACATTTTAATAAGCTATTAAATATAGACGAAAATTTTGTGGCATTTTTTTAAAGATGTCTCCAAAAGGTCAGGTCAAAAGTGTTATGTAAATTCCTGTACCGTTTTTGCCATTAGTTAACTTTAACAAAAAAAGAATTTCATTATTTTAAAATGTTGAATTGTCTATGGTCATTTAAAAAATATTTTAGCGCGCATTTAATTTTTATTTTATAATGCACAGGAAAAACAAAAACACATTTAGTAACCAAAAAAACACAAAGAGAAGGTACTGCTTATTTCTAACAGAAATTTATATATTTCATTTTAAAAATAAGCAGGAAAGGTTTTAAGTTAATAATTCATTCATGAAACATGCCAAGAACTGGTAAAGATGTAGTATGTCATCATGATGATGCCTAACTACACACATCTTTGCGAAGTCGTTAAAAACCTATTGCAGTTAGGTTGGAATTATGACCTTACTGACTGTTTTTGTTATTGTTTTACAAAACTCTTTGTACGGACTCTACGGACACGATTTTGACATTGAAGTGATATAAATGATAAAAGATAGTAAGATCGATATTTTCAATACAAAATTGACATAATTTAATGTTAGTTTTATTATTTATATGTATATTGATATAGCACGGGATGTTTACCAATCTAATACAACAAATAAACGGAATGGGTAAGAAGTATAAATGAGGTACGAGACAGGTGTGGTGGTATAAGTGGGTTTGTTTTAGATTATCTTCTATTGTATAAATACAATTTTTTTTAATATCGAGGAACTCGAGGCAAAATCCAATACTAACCACTAATGTTAAATATGTACACAAATGTATTAAATTGTATTAAGTATAAAATAATAATGAAAAAAAATACTATTATCAAATAACATTATGTAAAATTAAAAAATCGGGTAAATTGAAAAAACAGCGCCAGATTAGCTAGATTTTTAGTCTAAAACGAAAGGAAGACGTGCTCGGAACGCCGGTGATATCATCAGGCAGGTGGTTGTACTTAACAACACATCACAGCATTGACTGACAATTATATGGACGTCGGGTCCGCGCTAAAAAGTGTCCGAACTTACAGGGCGTTAAAATCGTATACAGAGCGTCATTCACGCTTTAGTCTTCGTTTGTTCGACTGACAGCGAAGCAAGCAAAATTAGACAGTACTGCGATGACATTACAATTTAAATCAACGTTTTAGCTTTTTCATAGTCCTTTACATGTCACTACGTTTAAATAGGTTGGGACATTTTTTTCGTGGTTTTTGTATTAGACCCGTCGTCCATTTATTTGTAAGTCAATGCATCACAGCGTAATTTTCATGCATTTTTCAATGGTATAATAAATAATTTACCCGCGACACAGGGTTTCCCTAGTGCGGGGCTAAAAAAAATACAGTTTGTACCTAAATCGTGTTTGTATTACACTTACAAATCTAGTTATTGGATTTCTTCATTAGAAAAAGAGGTTCTTACGTTTTTGCTTGTTACCCTCCGGAAAATTAATATTTTTTTCTGATCGGAATATTAATCAAGGTTCGGATTACCAGCTATCGTCATATGCGACCTTTTTATACCTATACTTTTATATAAAACACACCATACACAAATACGCACGCACTGACGCACGCACGCCCGGTTTAAAGTCCCATAGTTCTGTCATGGACCGTGGGACCTGTAAAGGGTTCGAAACATTCGTTGTAATAGAGATTCGAAAACATAGTTTCATTTCCAATGACTTGATACTTATTTAACAAAAATTCACACACTTATTGTGTTCTGTTTTAGACTTCTCGATGTTGTACCTTTACTACCACAAAAAATACCACTATTTTCACGAAAAGTTTATTTGAAGATGTAAATGATGACTAATGTCATCAATTTTACCTCAACCTCAAACCTAGCTAAGTCTTGAAAACTAATATTAACGAAGAAATCGCCAATTTAGAACTGTCTTGTGAGCAACAATTCAAAATGCCGTAAAACGAGGACAAATGTGTTTTATCTCGGTACCATTTCTAAAAAAAATGGTAGCCAATTCACATTAGTTTTATGCCACCTGTTATTTACTAAAAGATTTTGCATGTTCGTTAGTACAAACACTGTCACGTCTCCTTTTCCACTAGGTAAATATTTAAACCATTTAAAACCATTTAAATATTGATGCGTATGTATTCCACATACGAGAACACGTGTCTATAACCCAACGTGCTGTCGACTGTAAGTAGCAAATTACCTTACAGGACCGTAAAAAGACGCAGAGAGTTTAAAATTGTTGCTAAAAAGCCTTAAAAATGTGCATTGAATGTTTACGTTCAGTCACCGACCTTATGGCTATAGGAAGTGAATTGTGCTAACGTGTTGCGCATCTGACCGGTTTTTAACCTTCTCTGCCGTGGCCTTCTGAGAAGGGCTTAATGACTCAACTGGACGCGGGTTACGTGTTACAAAAAAGAAATAAATAAAGAAAAATGCTTAAAAATGGAAGTAAGTTACCCTGCTAAGTACTCATCGCGCCCAGGTATCAGGAACTGGGTTTGGTTTCGCGGAATAGCAAGGTAACATCTTCCATTTTTATTTCCGCAAAGTAATGTCACTTTTTAATGAAATAGACCTTATTTCCCTGATCAGTACATTGATCAACTAAATTGCAGACACAATATCGGTTTTTATTGACGCACGATATTGGGTATTTATTTCAGTTACAATTTAACGGCTACATAAACCCTTTTAATAGTGACTATACGACAATGTTAAGGTTCCGTTATTAAAAATTGTAATAGTTTCTTTAATATTACAATTTTAAAATAACTTATTAGTACTACTTTCTTTACTGCGTTATATGTATCTGATTTAACGCTATCGGTCGCAGCAAAATGTTGGGGACGTGTGATGTATGGGTAAAGGTAATATTATTGAATAGAAAAACAAGCACAGAGCGATGCTTAATAACACATCTCATTTTTAGTTTGTGTGATGTGCATGATGGTGATATCACAACGTAATATTACTTTTACGGGAACGTAATGTGATATTACATTACTTTTCGAGGTGCTGTTTTTTTACTTTTTTGTGATACTAAATGACGAGACAACAACACGTGCGCCTGGTGGTAAGCGGCACGCCTGTTTAAAGCAGTTGCAGTGTCACTCAGAGCTTTAAACCGCAATGATCTGAGGGGCACTGCCACTGCGCCTGTCGCCCTGAGAGATAAGTTAACAAGTCCTATGTGCCTGTAATTTCAACAACGATCTTACCCTTCAAAACCGAAACGCAGTAATGCTCACATTACGGCTTGGTGGCAGAAATAGGTAAGGTGGCAGTACTTCCTGGACGAGCGATTTCACAAGCAGCTCTACTGCTATTAATATATTGCGCATATCTAATCAAAACCAATGTATTCCAAGACTGGGCACAGATCTTTCCTAAGAACTATAGCATGTTTTTCTATACGGTATAACGAAAGGGTTATACTACAGCTGGAATTTGAATTGAGGATATCAAACTTTAACAAAAAAATAATGGTTAGAGGTGCCTATACAAAATACAGGCTAAGGTTTCTGACCGGTTCTATATCTATTTACATGTATTATATTTTTTATATAGCCTGGACAGATACCTGTTATCTATAAATAACAGAGCAGATGTCTATCGAACTAACATATAGATTCAGACGCGCCTGGAAAGCATCTGGATGGTCTAG